TTGAGAATTGTTATAAGTAGGCACTGTGAAGGCAAAATTTTCTCTGTCTTCTTTTTGTAAAGGTATAGTGAAAAAACAATCCTTTAAATCAATAACTATGAGAGGCCATCCTTTTGGTAATAAAGAGGGCAAAGGAATTCCAGATTGCAGAGGGCCCATAGGTTGAATAACCTTGTTGATAGCCCTGAGATCTGTCACCATTCTCCATTTACCTGATTTTTTCTTAACCACAAATACAGGAGAATTCCAAGGGCTGGTAGATTCTTCTATATGTCCAGCATCCAATTGCTCTTGTACCAGCTGTTCTAAAGCCTGTAACTTTTCCTCAGCTAAAGGCCATTGCTTTGTCCATATTGGTTTCTCAGTCAACCATTTTAGAGGCAAGGCTGTTGATATCTCTGAAGGGATATCAATTGCTTTGTGTTCTTGTACAGCCCAAATGGCCGGTTTTCTCCGTTTGTAATATCTTTTAATATTATTCTCAGAAATATAGGCTCTAGAAGTAGCAGGAATGTTAATTTGGGCATTCCATTGTTATAATAGGTCATGACCCCATATATTCACTACAATATTGGCTACATATGGCCTTAATTTTCCTATTTGTCCTTCTGGCCCTATACATTCAACCCATCTCATGCTCTGCCTTACTCGAGATGGGGTTCCAATTCTCAGGAACTGAACATTTACATCCTGAAGAGGCCAATACGGATGCCAAGATTCTGGCGTAATGATACTTACATCAGCACCTGTGTCCAGCAGGCCAGTAACAAAAATGCCATTTACACACACTCTTAGCTTTGGTCTTTGATCACTTATAGAAGTTTGCCAAAACACACGGAACTCCTCCTTCTGATCATTATTGCTTGTAACAGTAGTCATGGGGCTTCCTAATTTTCCTGACGAAGCATGTTCTCTGCAGTAACTGGAAATGACTGAACCATGTTTGCCATGGGGGCCTGTGAGGCCCCCCTCTCATGTTTCCCATCTGTTACAGGTTGCCTTGTCTATCTCTTATAGACCTGCATTTATTTGTCCAGTGTCTGCCTTTCCCACATCTTCTACATAAACCTGAAGGCTGAGTCCTCCTATTTCTGTTATTTCTAGAAGATGCATTATTATTATGTCTGAAAATCTGTTGTCTACAATTCCTTTTCATATGGCCCATTTTGCCACAATTAAAACATTTGGTATTCTGGTGTTTTCTTTTACCATTGGAAATTGCTTCTTCTACCCATGCTTCAGTGACATAATCAAATGTATCAACATTCAGTGTATGCAAGACCCATTCTTCCAAGGGCGCTGATCTGAGCTTTAAAGGCCCCAAGATCCTTTTGCATTCCACATTTGTATTTTCTTTTTTTTAAAAAAATATTTATTTATTTATTTATTTATTATGTATACAATATTCTGTCTGTGTGTATGCCTGCAGGCCAGAAGAGGGCACCAGACCCCATTACAGATGGTTGTGAGCTACCATGTGGTTGCTGGGAATTGAACTCAGGACCTTTGTAAGACCAGGCAGTGCTCTTAACCTCTGAGCCATCTCTCCAACCCCCCACATTTGTATTTTCATAAGCCAAAGACTCAATCATTGTACGTCTTGCTTCTGGGTCAGATATCCCTATTTGTACAGCTTTAGTTAGTCTTTGTGAAAAATCACTAAAGGGTTCTCTCTGACCCTGTTTAACTCTGACAAATGATTCCATTCTCTGACCTGGGTCTTGCACCCTGTCCCAAGCCCGTAAGGCTGCCATAGTACATATGGAGAGTGTGTTTTCATCAAAATTAGCTTGTTCCTGAGGGTCGGAAAAGAGCCCTTCACCTAGAATTTTATCTAAGGAAATGTCAATTCCCTTTGCTCTTTCCTGCTGTTCAATTGTGGTCCACTCTCAAGTACCGCAGAAGCTAACTGAAGCTAGTCAAAGGGCGTGGCCCTGTTTATTGTGGCCCAAGATTTTAACATCTCTTTAACAAAGGAGGCATGCATCCCAAAAGTCATAACAGCCTGTTTAATTTCTTTGAGATCATTCATACAGACAGGCTCCCATGTATCTTCCTTGATGACCCTAGGGTTTTTGGAACCAATCACCTTCTCTGTTGTTATTACTGGAAAGGTAGGTAGAGCTGTAGGTAGAGCTTTGTGGGAATTATCTCAGAGAGATTTACCCACAGATGGAGTTAAAATTTGCCTTTCTACCCTTTGTTCCTCTTCATCAGAATTTAGAAATTCCTCAATCTTTTCAATTCTATTCACCATTGCCTTCTGCAATGTCTGAATCTCCTGTCCAGAATTATGTTCCAAAGCCTTCACTGAGGATTCTAAAGTATGATGTTTGTCCATTAGAGATAACATCTCATCTTTGGACATAATTTTTATGTCATAAACCGTGTCTTCTTGAATTGACAATCTTTCTGTCAATCTGTCACAAGCTTTAGACAAAATCCAATTGTCACATTCAGCAGTTTTGATTCTCTCAGTTAATGTTTCATTTCCTACAGAAAGGGATGCAAATCAGCTGTTCCCTCTTCCATAGTAATGAATTTCTCCTTAATATCAGCCATTAACGCTTCAGTTCCTACAGAAAGGGACTGAAGCTTATGATCCAAATCAGCTGTTCCCTCTTCCATTGTAATGAATTTCTCCTTAACATCAGCCTGTACCTTTTCTAAATTTTGCTCAGTTGATCGAGTCATGTTAAACAAAGATCTGTTTTCTTCCTGGAGAACTTCAAACTGATTCTTGAGAAGATTGTTGTCATTCTCAATTGTTTTTATGCGTTCAACCTCTGCCTTAAGAATCCTGGATTCGTCTCGTAAAGACTTTATCATATTTCTATTATCAAATCATATAGTACCTAGGAAAACTATGAATCCCAGAAAGATCCATAGATGTGGGGTGACACCTCTTGTAAAATCTCCCACATGGTACAATCAAAAAGGCTGTTAAAGTCTTGAATGGTAACGTTTTCAGACATTTTCAATCAAATCAGTGTTTATTTTTATTTATAAAAGAAGTTTTTTACCTGTAATGACTGTTTCCTGCCAGTGGTGGCGAAATGCACCTTAGTCCACGTGGCCGAAGTCAGAGTCGGTCTGAAAAGTTTACTCAAAACCCAAAACTGAAAGTTAACTGTAAACAGCAGGGGGGAGGGCCAGGAAACAGGGCAGAGCCAAGGCAGGACTCAGCCACCCGCGGGGAGGGGACGCAGAGCAGTCACATGCGCAGAGTGGCATTGTGTACTGATCACGCTGTTTACTGCTAGGTGCTGGGGGGGGGGGGGGGGGGTTGCTAAATACAGAGGCGCTTGCACCAGTTGCTAGATCCGAGCAATTCTGGTGGGCAGGGCGGGGCCGCACAGACTTGTGCGGGCAGCTGCTCTGTTTAGTATGGTGGGCGGGGCCGAGTAGGGTCACTGATCTGCTGAGCTGCTACTGTACGTGGCCTGGGCTGAGCTGCCGATGAACCTGCAGCTGGACGGGAGTGGGGGACGGGAAAACGAGCCGGGAACACGCTGTGAAAGCTAGTGGGCTATGCTCGCTGGAGCCCAGTCGTGCTTCCTGAGCTCCGGTAGTTGACTTGCTCTCAAAGGCTGGGAAAGATCGAGCTTGTACCCCCAGCCATGCAGGGGTGGGGCAAAAAAGCCCGACATTGTAGCGCCAAACTGTAAACGGCATAATAACCAGGCTAGCTTAATATGAAACAGGAAATTTTAATGAAGGGTTAGCTTACAACACCAGGGATCCAGCGATGAGCAGGAGATACAAAAAAGAGAGCAGCAGGGCTCATGCCTGCCAGATTTATATGTAAACATTAGCCCCAGGCGAACACGCCCCCCTAGTGGGCTGGGCTTTCCCTACATAGAGCTAATGGGCCAAGCAGTGATTTAATTAATATGGTTTCTGTGTGATTATTTCAGTTCTGGGTGGCCTGGACAAACAAGCGGCCTCCTGACTACAGTGGTAGGGTACGGTTAGCTTCAAAGTCATATCTAAAAGATTATGTGCATCATATGGTGAGGCTGAAGTTTTAGGACTAACTTTCATTTGTTCCCAGCACTTTCTCTGCATTCCTATCACGGTTTGAAAGAAAATGACCCCCAGAGGGAGTGGCACTAATGGGAGGTGTGGCCTTCTTGGAGTAGGTATGTTGGAGGAAGTATATCACTGTGGGGGTGGCCTTTGAGGTTTCCTATGCTCAAGCTACACACAGTGAGTTAGGCCATGTCCTGTTGCCTGTGAGTCAAGATGTTCAGCTTCTGTTTCAGCACTCATCTGCCTCCATGCTACCATAGTGCACCATTATGATAGTGGATAACACCTCTGAAAATTCAAGCCACCCCAATTCAATGTTTTTTGTTTATAAGAGTTGCCAGTGTCATGGTGTCTCTTCACAGCAATAGAAACCCAAACTTGATGGAGGAAGGTCATTGGCTAATAAAGGAACTGCCCTGGCCCATTTTATTGGTTAGAAGATAGGTGGGAGGAGTAAACAGAACAGAACGCTGGGAGGAACAGGAAGTGAGGTCAGATTCAACAGCTCTGCTCTCGGGAGCAGACGCCTGAGAGAGACACCATGCCCCGCTCCCGGGATGAAGCTCCGACCCAGGATGGACATAGGCTAGAATCTTCCTGGTAAGCGCACCTTGGGGTGCCATACACAAATGATTAGAAATGGGCTAAATTAATATGTGAGAATTAGCCTAGAAGAGAATGGGACAAGCAGTGTTTAAAAGAATACAGTGTCCGTGTAATTATTTCGGGGCATAAGCTAGCCGGGCATGCGGCCGGGGTGTTGGGGACACAGCCCCGCCGCTGCCCTTATTACTCCACAAACTAAGATACCTTTCCTCTGGCAGGTTACCCTAAATCTGGAACAAAGAATTTTATATTGCTCCCTGAGTAGGGGGTGGGTCAGGATTGCCAATTCTTTTAATTCCTAGACACTTATTGGATTGTTTTAATTTCTTATTATTGAGATAATAAATGATTACAAACTTAAGTGCTTAAAACAACACATATTTATTCAATTTGTAGAACTCTGGAGTCACAAATAAATCATCTGGGGATAAAATCAAGTAGCAGCATTGCACTGAGGAAAATTAATTTCATTGTCCTTCTCAGCTTCCGAATCTTTGTTCCATCTTCAAGGGACATCACTCCAGTTACTGCTTCCACAACCATACAATAATTTCCTCTTCTAGAGTCAATTCACCCCTCATCTTAGAAGGACATTTGTACTTGCAATTAGGACCCACCCTGACAAAAAATAACCTTCCATTAATAAAATCCTTACCCACATTTTCTATGCCTCTTTTGCCATCTACAGCAGCATTCACAGATTCCAGATAATAAAATTAAAACCTTTGGGAGACTATTGCAGGGCTAGAGACTGCAAGCTGGATAAGTAAAATAACATGGTAGGTACAGGATCATTTTGCAATGGTCATGAATTTAAGGGTCTAATGGTACAATCAAGGAGCCCTTCAATGAAATGAAGACACAGCTCCTGTTGCTATCTCAGGGATCTCTGGCCAGTATAGAAACAGTGTAGGAAAACACATTCCTCATATTTTTGGATCTTGTACAGAAGATGATCTTCTTCAAGAGACTCTTCTCCACCTAGAAACTGTTACACAAGTTTTTGTCACAGCACATCAAGTAAGTCAGTTTCCCATTCTGACGGAGATCCCTTTCCGAGCAGTCAGACATGCACAGATGCTTGGAGAACTCATGTTTTGTTCCTAAAAATAAAGAAGCCGGTTATACACGCTGGAGGAGATTATCTTAATACAACTTCCTAAAATCACTGCCAAGAGGAAAACCCTTTCACACTGGATCCCCTTGCTAGGCTCCTTGGGGTCACATTCCCATCCTGACTCTGACTCTGGATGCCAAGCCCCTCAATGATAAATTAGAAAGTACTCTTTTCCCTCCTCCCCACATTTCACTCACTGCCTTACCCCTTAGCAAGGCTCAACAATGTTTAGTCCTTTATCCCAGGTACTAGAAGGAGTAATAGTCTTCTGACGGCATCTTTTTTGTAGTCTGCATCAGCCTCACTTACCCAAAAAATGTGATATGGTAGCACATGACTGACCAGGGTGTGCAAAGCATCTGCCTCGGCCCCTTTTACATATTGATTCTTTTGCATTGTCACAGACATTACAGATCAGACCTGTATTTGTTGAGTAAGGAGAGAATAGGATATTTAGGATCAACTATAAGGCTATGGGAATGAGTGATTACGAGATCAAAGAGAAGCTTCAGTGTTACACATGGACTGTACTGTCCATTTATTCCCTCAGCTACTATTCAGTTTAGCTTTGTGAGTTAAGCTAGGGGGTGGATTAACATAATGGTGGCATTATTTCTGTTACCTGGTTAGTGCCTACGTACATTCGAAGATGAAATAAAAACACTGAGAATCAAATATATATATGTAGTCAATTGGATAAATTGTGTGATGCAGACAGATTCCACTGAGCTGAGAAGGCCTTGATCTTCAGTTGATTATTGGAGACATGGAGATATAGGTTAGATCTGGGTAATTGTGTGTTGAGGATCTTATGAGGGCGTGAATAAAGATTGGAATAATAATGGAACATACAGAGCGGACTGCGGTTACATTCATTGCTGATGATCCCACCTAGCTCAGCTCTACTTTCTCTCTCTTTACCAAGCAGAAAAATGATCTAGGAATCTCTATGATCAGGTAGCAACAGGGCAAGGGAGGTAGGGCACAGAGATGACATCAGGAGCGATGACAGATTTAGCATTTAGGATTAAGCAATATTGATGGAGAAGAGGTAGTACATTATTTGAACCTTTCATCTTAGACATTTTGAGATTATTGAGTCAGACTCTCTATGGAGCCGAGGAGGACTTGAGTGCCATTGACTTACGTCTGGTTTTGAAGACAGTTGTGCCACATCTGTCTTATATATTCCATGCTCCATGCTCCACTAAAACTGCCTTTACAAATGTTGCTAGTAATCTCCAATGGCAGATCTACTTGTCCTTGCATGACCAAGGGTTTGTTCACTTCTAAGTAATGATGATTTAAAGCATACGGGAAGATGTTCACAGGTTAGAGGCAAACATAGTGTAAAATTTTATATCAGGAATTTGAACATTCATGGATTTTGGTATCAGGAGCAGACCTGGAGTGAGTTCCCTTTTATAAGTCAGTTAGATGGCTATACATCATACATAATATGCACTTTGATTTCTTTTGAACAATATATGATATAAGAAAAATATTCCATTATAACTTTGTAGCATGCTTTAATTAATCAATTCCTTATGTATATTTATTTCTATGTTTTGATATTACTTGGCACAGTAAATGATCCTGAACACTATTCATTATAATATAATGAGGTTGTTATTATATAATTCATTTGCATGTGGTTATATCTGTAATATAATTTCATATAAGCAGAATTGCTGGATAATAAATTATTGTTTTGATAGTTTTGCAAGATTTCACTTTAAAGGCAATGAAACTATTTATACTCTTGTTATCAATTTTTAGGCAATTCTTACCTCACTACAATAAGGACACTATACAGTGTTATTCAGTTTCTGAATGTTGACAATCTGATAGGTTCTTTGAATATGTACTTCTTCACTATATAAGGAGTGAGTCTGAGCATATTTTTGTACATTTAATAGTTATTGGTATTTACTGTATGATGAACTTTTGATGTCTCTAACTTATTTTTCTGTTAGATTATTAGTGTATTTTAAGTGTTTTTATTGAAAGTCATCATATATTAGGGACATCAGCCATTTGTTCACAACATGAATTGACTTTTTCTTTTTATTATGAGGAATTTTTTGATTTTTATTTCTTTCTTTATATTATTTTTATTTTTGAGATTATAGTACACTTACATCACTTATCTCTTCTTTTCCTCTATACAAGCCCCCCATATGGCCCTCTTTGCTCTCTTTCAAATTTATATGGTCTTTTTTTTTAAGAACTCTAGTTTTTTGAGTTATAGTTAGAAAGGTCTTCCCCAAACTGGTAAAACAATAATCTTACATTTTCTCTAATATTTTATGGTTTAGCATTTCTTAGTATTAAAAGGGTGGCAGAATAGAAACACCATTGTACTTTGAGTACATTTAATAAGTAAGATGAATACAAATTAGACATTAATTTTCATTTAGTCGTGAGCAACAGCTATGTGTCAAGGCTGCCTTTCAAGCAGAGTGTACACTCGCTAGTGTAAGACGGAGTCTCAGCAGAGAGATCTGCCTGAGGAGTGGAGCTCACTATTTTCAGCTACAAGTTATAAGTGGAGCCTTGGAGGTGAAAGAGGACGTATGTGAGTAGTGCTGAGCTTTGAAGGTAAATAAAGATTCCGACTGACCTAACACCTGCAAAATACATGGAAAAGAAGTAATGAGGCAAAGAAGGGGGAAGAAGAAGGGTGTCGTGCAGGGTGCAGCATAGCAGTGTTGCGGGAGAAAGGAAGATAAGCTGAAAACCTGCGCACAAAAACTGGAGGTCTGAAAGTTGCTCTCCTGTTTGTCTGCGATTCTTCTGTTTTCTTCTTGATTAGTACACCACATGATCTCCCTAATGCTCAGCACTTCAGTCTTTAGATTTGCGTTGCAATGCCCAAGTGTGACTGGGGAACAGTGGTTTAGGTAACATCGCCCCTAAGACCTCCCTCCACTCCCCATGGTGGAAACTTACCCTCTGCCAAACAGAGAAAAGACAGGGTCACGATGAGCACTGTGCTGACTTTGGTCGCAGGACTCATGCTGAGTGATAGATGGTGGCTTGAGATACTATGTAAAGGAAGGCCACTTGGTCCCTTTATAAAGCTGGAGACCAGGAAGTAATCTCCAACATCAGCACAGGAAGAAATGCCCTTTCCTTTTTCAAAAAGTCAGATGTGCGATAACACGGGAAGCACAGGGTGCCTAGCTGTGTAGCTACAGCCGAATCAGATCATTTCTCCTCCCTTATCTCTTCTCCTCCCTTATCTCATCTCCTGAGTGTACAAGTGTGTGAGACGCAGTTTTCTGCTCCTCCAGAAACCCCTCTCTATATACTAAGTGGGAAATGTTTGCTCATCCTAGGATTCAGAAATGGGAAATGGTGACTTTGAATTCAAGGACTTCCAGAGAAGGAACATGGAACATGAAGATTTCCTGCACAGCTTATTCCAGTGTTGGAGCATTCTCCTGTTTGAGTCACAAGACAGGAGGAGTTTAGAGCCTGAGAGTCTACACACAACTCCCTAGCTCCTGTCTCCTAAGGCCTCCATCTTTCCTCCTTAGAGAGTTCTAGTGCTCTTCACTCTGGAAGTCTGGGATCTCAGGTTCCCAGCAGATCTTACAGTTGGGAGTTCAGGGGTGAGGGGAGAAATGAGGGTGCTTCTTCAGAGGCATTTCCAGTGAGCTCCTTCTTGGGGTCTGAGCCCAGTTTCTGTGTATTTCCTGTCCTGGACGTTCTGGAATTAAAGCTAGGACTGTTGAGATAGGAGCGGCGGGGCTGCGTCACAGGCACCCGGCCGCCCGCACGGCTAGCTTTACCCGAAATAATTACACGGAAACTTTTCTCGGCTAACTCTCACACCTGGATTAGCCCATTTCTAATAATCTGTTTAGCCCATGAGCTGGCTTACCAGGAATGATCTTAACCTGCATCTGCCTGGAGTGGGAGAATCATGGCGACTCACTGACTCAGCTTCTTTCTCCCAGCATTCTGTTCTGTTTACTCCTCCCACCTATGTTTTAACCTATGAGGGCCAAGCAGTTTCTTTATTGCTTAACCAATGAAATCAACAGATTGATATATGACACTCCCACATCACTTCCCCTTTTTCTGTTTAAACAAAAAAAAGGAAGGCTTTAACTTTAACATAGCAAAATTACATATAACAAAACAGTTATCAAGCAAGAATTACAGTCACAATATTTATGTCTATTTTATCTTTTATCATAACAATGGAAAACTATAACTACCTATCCATTCTTCAACTCCATCAAAGACTCCAGAAGGATATAATATTACCTAAGCAAACAAGAAATCCAAACTCTAGAAATGACAGAGACATCTCGCTGCCTGGACAGTCACCCAAAGTTCCTCTGTACTGTTGGGGCATCCATCTTCAGCCTTCAGGCCCATAGTATCCAGCAGACATTTTCATCAAGCAGGAAATTCCAAAGACAGTTTAGTCACTTTCTGCTGTATCCTGCAGAATGTCTCGCAGACTCTTTCATGAATCAGGAACCCCGAAAGACCATCTCACCTTTAGGCAAGTTCAGCAGTCCTCTCTCTGCGGGTTCTTTGTGTCCAGTTTATGCATCAGTCCAGGCAAGAGCAGTTTCTTGCCCAAATGGCTATCAAACTCCATAAGGATCCTCTTCAATGCCCATCTTCTTCCTGAAGTAGATTGGTGCTGCCAGGAGCAAAGTGTCTCATTGTCATGAAAAACCCTAAGTTATTAAAATATTTTAAATGCCATATTCTGCAGTCTTTGAAAGATATGAAGAATGTCTATCTGACTGAAATACATCTCGATATATATATAAAATATAACTAACATGACTATAAGCTTTACTATTATCGATGATTATCCATTAGCAACCTATGTTTCCTAATTATACATTACATTTTAAAAATGAACTACACAATCACAATACCTTAATCAAGATCAGAAATACATATACATATAACAAAATTGACCTTAAAATCCATACCAATGCAAATTATTCATACCTATATCATTTCCCCCTTTAAATGTAAAAGAACATTTATAAACAATATTTTGGGGACATGGGCACAGTTTTTTCTCTCCAAACTGCTTCCTGCTGAATGGGGCGCTGTTATTCAGATCATTTAGGGTGTAACCTGTGTGCCAGGTTTATCTCAGTTGGCAGTTGAGTGAAGTAATTTTTTGAGGGTGTTCACAGGAACTTTTCGGGAGGTCATGGTCTATCATACCATATTGGGATAGATGCAATCCACAGGGTCTGGTCCTCTGTGAAAACAAAAGAAGACCCTCTCCAAAGCATCATATCCTTAGACCCAAATTTTGAAATCGTAATACCCTTATATCCATTCTGGTTTAGCTTGGCAGCCCATGTAATGAAATGTCTCTCTGTACTTAGCTCCTTCACAGTCAAAAATTTTAATTTGTACATAATCCAGACTCTCTGTGAATTTTCCATTTTTACATGGCTTATTTTTCTTTATTTCTTTTAATCTCTTAACTATCTGTACTCTTTCTCTTTAAAGACTTTACCTTTTTTTTTAAACCATTAACTTTATTTTCTATATTCTTTTTCTTCTCTCTCCCAAGCCTATGTACATTCATCCAACAGTGTGACTCATTTAGTGGTCTGAATCTGTCCTATTGTGAATCTGCAATTTTTTACTATCCAGGAGCACTTTTGATTTGTGCCTTTAAATCACTAGGTGCTTAAGAATCTAAGCTGTGACATTCCTATGTCAAAAACAGGTACTGCCTGCTGGCCCCGCCCAGTCCAACATGGCGGAGCCGCTTGTACCTCTGATCCTTGCACATTGCACCACTAGCATGGCGGAGCTGCTTGTGCCTCTGAGCTGCAGCACGCAATATCCCCCTTTTAGGTACACAGCAGTCTAGTTGCCATCAAACAAATCGTAGCACTTTACTCCAAATGCTCCATTCAAAAGCTCTGTCTCCCTCAGGAGCCAGACAGAGATTGCAACGGCGGCACAGCCCAGAAAGCCAGTATTTTAAAACAGCCAGTTTTTTCCTGCTGCTGAGTCAGGAAAATTTCAAAATGGAGGACGTACCATTTTGTGCTTGCTCTGGGGCCGCCAGGTAGGAACGGCACTCAGCACTTTAATTCTGAGACTGAGCGTGTGGCACAGAAATTCTTTTCATCCAAGTTACAGCCAAATCTGACATGCAGAGCACTGCGCAGTCTGAAAACACGTCTCTTCCGCCATGCTCTTCCGCCTGCCTAAGCCTGATTCTGCAGTCTGCCCAGGTGCAGGCAGGAGCGCTGAGCCATCAGCACAGTCTCAGAGCACTCTCCTTCTGATCCCAAGCAGGAACACAAACATCCAGTCCCATAAAATCCATTGAAATGCTTTAAAGCCAGAGTTTGCACTGGCAGCACAGGCCCAAGAAGCCATGCTTTAAAATGACACAGCGTTTTTTCTGCTGCCGATGCTGAATCAGGAAATCTCTCTACAACACACCACCAACTATTCTCTGTTTAAAATTAAGCTCTCTCAGGTTTTTAAATGGATTTAGCCCATCACGTCTGGGTGCCACTCTGTTGTAATAACAGCGGTGGGGCTGCATCCCCAGCACCCTGGCCGCCTACATGGCTAGCTTAGCTTATGCCCCGAAATAATTACACGGAAACTGTATTCTTTTAAACACCGCTTGGCCCATTATATCTAGCCTTTTCTCGGCTAACTCTCGTACCTGGATTAGCCCATTTCTAATAATCTATATAGCCCAAGAGCTGGCTTACCAGGAATGATCTTAACCTGCGTCTGCCTGGAGTGGGAGAATCAAGGCGACTCACTGACTCAACTTCTTTCTCCCAGCATTCTGTTCTGTTTACTCCTCCCACCTATGTTTTAACCTATAAGGGCCAAGCAGTTTCTTTATTGCTAACCAATGAAATCAACAGATTGATATATGACACTCCCACATCACGAGGACCATGCCTCCACCACACTCAACCCTGTCTCAATGCTCCTGCTGTGTGTACTCTAGGGAAATGAAAGGTCATGGTCCCAACCTCGCGCTGAGCCATTCAGCTCCATTCTAGAACAAACTTGTAAATCGAAATTTCTTGCTTGTTCTTGTGACCTCCCAACTTCTCAGGGGGATTTACTTCCTTCATGAATGCTGCCATCTCTGGTGGGGTGTACTGTCTCCACCCCCATTCTAGTTGTTCCAGGTCTCATTACCTTCCTTTTCCAGGTGACCGTGACTTTGTGTAGCTCCATTGTCTGGGCTTCATTTCAAACCAATATCCATGAAGGTCTTTTCTGTTTCCTTGTTGCCTTTGTCCTCTGTGGGATTAGCTGTGTGGCATGTTCTAAGACCATAACAGATGGGTTCTCTTCCTTTTCTTCTGCTCCTTCCATATACTGGATCCTAAAAACAACTCTGGGAGTATGTGTAATACTTATTGTTTCCTTGAATGAAATAATAAGTCCAGAAAAATTCAGTAATGGACCCAAGGTCACATAGCAGCTAGCAAGTTGCAGATGAAGTGAACCCATGATTATCTGCAACAAGGTTATATTTGAGATAAATTTACAGATCATGCATTTATTCCTATTAGTGGGGTTTTTATGTATTTATCAATCCTTGAGAAAATATTATTTTTTAGTCAACTTACTGGAAGTTCACCAGAGTGAGCAAGAAATTCAATTCTATATTCTTAGAGTTATAAACATATGTTTTCTATGAAACTTCCAACAGTAGCTTATAATGCTATGAATTACTCAAGTTCAAGAGGGATAACATCTTATGGAGCTAAACAATAAAGATGTCAGTAGCAGGTTAGCTCCTTCTGGAGACACTAAAGAAAAAAATGTATTTCCTTCAGTATCCCATATCTCGTGACCCATTTCTCCATCTTCAAAGCATGTAACTTCAAAACCTGCTTTCGTCGTTATATCTCCCATCCTCATTCTATAGTCGACCCCTACTCCCAGACTCTGGCAATCAAATACTTGGCTTTGCCAATGCTAGGCAAGTTCTCTACCTTTCAACTCTGACCTCATCCTCCACTTCTCTTTTATAAGAT